GTGGCGGCGGAGGCCGCGGAGCCCGCGGAGCCGGCGGAGGCCGAAGTGGCGGCCTGGGCCGCGGAGCCGGCGGAGGCCGAAGTGACGGCCTGGGCCGCGGAGCCGGCAGAGGCCGCTGTGGCGCTGGAGCTGAGGCGCCGCCGGCCTCGCTCTGCTGCAGGCTCAGCTCACCGAGGCACTCACGGGCCAGGGACTGCCCCAAGGACTCCTTCAAACTCTGTTCTTTAAAGCACCAGACCCAACCCCCGGTAGGATAAAAAAGATATAGAGTACAGGTATAATCTATGATTGTTATTTAGGCAACACGTTTTTTTATCAGCCCAGTGATTTATGACACAATGGTTTTAAACGGCGGGAGGGTCGATTTCATTTGGATATAAGCGAGTTTTCTGCGATGAGGGTGGTGAAACCCCGGAACAAGTTGCCCAGAGATTTCCCGTGCCTGGAAACATTCAAGGCCATGTTTGATGGGCGAGTTGGCATTCCTGCCCATGGCAGGGGAGCTGGGATGAGATGACTTTTAAAGTTTCCTTCCAACCAAAACAATTCTGTGATTCTATCATCTATTATTATGTACAGATCATAAGTCTTGCATACGGACACTTTTCTTCCCCTGCGGTGGGCCAAGAATACGTGACCTGTGTTATATAGTCCCATATCCATGTATTTGCACATCTTTTGTGGATACTTCTCTTGTGAGCTCTTGCTCACAAGATCAAGGTCTATCAAGCAGAGGTCTTCCCTCTGCACATAGAGGTCTGTGTGCTTGAACTCACGGCTGGGTTTTTCCTTATGTGGTCAATTTGAGCTCTAATATACAAAACCTTCCCGGCTCTATATTTGTACTGTCGTGAAAACTGACTACAATTCTCTTGGCACCAATTTTTCCAAGATTATTTACACACTTCGAGTGAACTCTGCACTAAAGTACATATTAATGCTTCTGTGCAGCTATGCTCCAAAATTACATTTTCTAATTTTAAAAAGCCAGATAACCCACTTTTCTTTCTTTTTTTCATTAAGAGTCCATAAATTATTTTTGTGACACTGAATATACATATATATATATGCACACATACATAAACCCATTAATTTTCAGAATTTTCATTTGCAATGGCATAAGTTAGTTCAGTAAATAATAATGTGGGTCATTATCTTAGCATAATAGCATCAGAATTGGTAGAAAAAGATTGTTGACTGTAACTTTCAGCTACTCTTCTGTTCAGCCTGTTGTTTCTTTCTGGGGTCAGACTCTGGCCATGACACTGTTTGCCTACTGAGATACCTCCTGCTGCTGCTGCTGCTGCTACTGCTGAGGGATATTCATTACTTCTAAAATTATCTCTGTTCACAACTCTGCTTGCTTCTACTTTGCAGTTTAAAAACTATTGTTGCTAACAGTATCTGGATGCTATACAGCACCCTTAGTCCTTTGTAGGTGTTTGGATGTGTGTCTATCTTTTCTGTTTGTATTTTAACACTAAGAATAACTAAATCACACTGGGAAAAAACCTCTTCAAAACACTGCAAGCTGATGTATTTATCTACTCCCAAGTTTGTTAAAAAGGAGGTCACAGGTCTGCATGTCAGCATTTGGTTTTGGAAGCCTGTAAGTTCCCTGATCTGTGAAGCTTACCTAACTATGCTCCACCTGTCCTTTCCAATATCTGTCATCATTTATCTCACTGACCATTCTGGTTTCTGGGAAGGAGAGGTAAACAGAATCTTGTCTATGTATTGCTCTACATTCATTCAAACTGATGGGACCACTGCATTCCTCTTCTCTCTTTCCACATTGCAAATACTTCTGGGGGACTTTTGCATTCTATTCTTCATAGAATTATAGAATATTCTGAGTTGGAAGAGACCCACAAAGATCATCTAGTCCAGCTCGTGGCTCTGCACCCAACAACTCCAAATATCACAGCTTGTGCCTGAGAGCATTGTCCAAACGTTTCTTGCCAAACTCTGGGAGGCATGGTACTGTGGCCATTTCTTTAGGGAGCCTATTTTAATGTTTTCCCTTACAAATATAACAACTTGAAATAACTCTAATATTTCATACAGACCTAAAAGACTTTTCAAACTAAGAAAGCAGAAAATTAATTCTGCCATGGATTTGTATGAGAGGTAAAATAATGTTTTGCTTCAGCCACTGTTTCAGCCATAAGAATGTATCTTATGTCATGTAGGCAAAGATTAAGCTAGCAAGAGGCCAGGCCTCCTGAACATGGAGGGGAGAAAAAGAGGAGTGATGTTTGTTACTTTAGAGTTCTTAGTTCTGAGAGGGATAGAAAGGAGAGGGGAAAGGACATATCAGTTTGAGCATGGTAGACGGGTCAGAAAGAATGTAAGAATGTGAATTCCTGAATACTCAGCCAAAGGGGAAAAGGGACAGGGACTGCACCAGCTGAGGAAGTGTCTAAAATTTTGTGCATTTTAGAGAGAGGTGTGCCTCCTCAGTGAGATGTGCCTGACTCAGCTTACTTGTTTATATCAGTAAATAGTTTTAGATATTTTAAATAGTAAAATGATTTTGTCCTCTTTCAATTTTGTCAGCAAATGACTATATCTCACGGCTGGAAGGATCATAATCACAGACAAAGTAAATTGAAGGGAAAAGGAACAGTAATCCACTCTTTCAAAGAAGCTGTCTACTCCTGAAAGCAAAGGAAAAAGAGAGTCCTGTCCTGCAGGTTTTCTCACTAGCCCAAGCTCAACAGTTCATATCTGCAAAGCCGCAGGGGAATGTTATAGTGAGGCAATATAAGAAGGAGGGTGATATGGAAAAAAATTGTGTGTATGAGAATACTAGATCTGAACTGCCAGCTCTGGACTACTTTTGAGATAGGGAACACTTGGTGGGAATGGAATAAAATATTTCATTTCATATTTCAATTGAAGGTAATATTAATAAATACTCTGATTTTTGTTGATTTCAGAATTGCTGTCTTGAAAATATCAAAATAAAGTAGAGATGGAAAAATGGTTTTTTTAGGAAAAAAATCTCAATTTTTTTTCTCTGTACGACACCAAGTTGAGTTGCAGTGTTGATCTGCTGAGGAAATGAAGGCTCTTCAGAGAGGTCAGGACAGACTGGATCAATGGGCTGAGGCCAGCTGTATGAGGTTCAACAAGGCCAAGTGCTGGGTCCTGCACTCGGGTTACAACAACAGGCTGAGAACAGGGTGGCTGGAAAGCTGCCCAGTGGAAAAGGACCTGAGGGTGCTGGTTGATGGCAGCTGAATGTGAGCCAGCTTGTGCCCAGGTGGCCAAGAAAGCCAATGGCATCCTGGCCTGTACCAGCAATAGTGTGGCCAGCAGGAGCAGGGCAGCGATTGTGCCCCTGTACTTGGCACTGGCAAGGCCACACCTCAAGTGCTGTGTCCAGTTCTGGGCCCCTCAGTTCAGGAAGGATGTTGAGGTGCTGGAGAGAGTCCAGGGAAGGGCAGTGGAGCTGGTGAAGGGTCTGGAGCACTAGTCCCATGAGGAGAAGCTGAGGGAGCTTGGGGTGTTTAGCCTAGAGGAAAGGAGGCTCAGGGGTGACCTTATCATTCTCTACAACTTCCTGAGAGATGGAAGTCACTCTCTCCCAGGTTGCAAGCGATAGCTTGAGAGGGACTGACCTCCTTGGTTTAAATTGGATATTTAGAAAGATTTCTTCACCGAAAGGGTTGTTATGCTTTGGAACAGGCTTCCAGAGAATACCCTGGAGGTATTTAAAAGACATGTGGATGTGACATTTAAGGGCATGGTTTAGTGATAGACTTAGTAGTGCTGAGTTTATGTTTGAACTTGATCTTAGAGGTCTTTTCAAACATAACTGGTTCTGTGAACATGACTCTAGCAGAAACAAACAAAATTGTTTTAATCAATCTCTTTTCTTTATTTCTTTAAAGGAATGAGGGAATTTATCCAAACTAGTACATTACTTATATATATATGTATATTTTATATATATATAATTTACAAATTAGGAAGACGGGAGGGATAGCAGGCCCAGTGTCTGAAAGAAGAACAATGTACAGTTCTGCCGTAAAGCACAGAGCAAGTCAGGAATATGACACAAGTCTCAGAGAATTTGAATTAGAACGAAAAAGAAGAAAAATTATTGAATTGTTGATTATTCTGCAGAATGGCCAGCTTTCTGAAGCATCAGGTTCTCAGCTGCATTAGATGGGAAATGGTATCTTACCTGCTTTGTTTTTAAACAGGGCACTTTGATGAGAAATTGTACTTTTGCAATTTGGCATCTTGGCATAGAGCCACACTGATGTTTAATTGAAGACTGGATCCTGTCAAACCCTGTTTTAAGTAGCTATAGGCATAAGATAACCTGTCCTGCCTATAAAGAAGTCAGTACGGGCTCTTTTGATCATAAACACTCAATGCATCTTATTTCATCCTTGTCTCTTCTTTGCCTGCTTTTCTAAGTATTTGAATACCTTCACTATGCATTAAGTGAACTCACTGAGACTTTGTCATGTGTTGTTCTTTCCATCTTTCTCTCATCCCTTACTCCAGGGAAAAAATATTTATACAACCTGTTGATGCATGTAGTTATGAAAGGTAAGCAGCAGTTGAAGCAGGGCATGCATGGTTTTGCCTTTCATTGACAAAATCTTTTATGAACAGTAGTGTAGGGATTGAAGGATGAGAAATGCAATCCAAAATAAAAAAATTAAAAATACAATCTCCCAGATTTCTTAACATTCAGAAAACCAGAATAGTGGTTAAGCCATTGTAGCCATTCAATTGTTTTTCTGTTATATCAGCATATAACAGGAATCAAAGCATATTAAGCAGAACTATATTTCTGTACTGACAAAAAAATAAGACAGAAAAAAACTTTCAGAAGGGTAAAGATGTATGCAAAGAAAGGACATATGCAGAAAAAGACTACAAAACTGTTTTAGAAACAATGCTAAAGAGTTACTCCGTATGTTGCCCCAAAGTTCCATCAAATCATCTACTCATTCTGCCCCATGACATGATTCTTCTGAATCATTAGGGAGCCCTGTGCTTCTTGACCAAGCCTCTGCTATGACCAAGCCTCTTTCTTCATGCTCTGCTTAGCATGAAGAAAAAGGATGCTGCTGTCTTAACGCTTAGACACTGGCAGCAGTTTTAAAACACACAAATGACAGGGAAGTGTCCAACTGAGAGTGATTTTCTGAAGAAATTGTGGTTTTAATAGAAACAGATCACTTGGGATCCCATCTGGCAAGGTGGATATCAAGATATGTATTAGCTGGCTGCTCTCCCTTGCCTGGTG